TAAAGATTTTATTTATTTGAGAGAGAGAGAATGAGAGATAGAGAGCACGAGAGGGAAGAGGGTCAGAGGGAGAAGCAGACTCCCTGCTGAGCAGGAAGCCTGATGTGGGACTCGATCCCGGGACTCCAGGATCATGACCCGAGCCGAAGGCAGTGGCTCAACCAACCGAGCCACCCAGGCGCCCCCTCAGTGAATTCTAGTACACATGATTTTGGAGTCTCCTTTAAGGTTCAGGTGCTCAGGGACAGACTAGGTAATGTCACCGCTTGCTTCCTGCAGGGACAGAAGTCTCTACTGGCACCAGCTTCACAGAGGTCCAGCCCGTGCAGTCACAAAAGGCTCCATGCTCAGAAGGAGGGCCTTGCACTTGTTTAAATGATCTGCAGTCACAGTTCGAAGTTCTTAATTTTTTTTTAAAGATTTTATTTATTTATTTGATACAGAGAGAGATAGAGAGAGAGCGCAAGCGGGGAGAGAGGGAGAGGGAGAAGCAGTCTTCCCAATGAGCAGGGAGCCGGACACGGGGCTGGATCCCAGGACCCTGGGATCACGCCCTGAGCTGAAGGCAGACGCTTAACCAACTGAGCCACCCAGGTGCCCCGAAAGGCCCCATATTTTCTCTTGTCCACTGGGCCCAACTCTCATCTTTTCCTGAAGGCCTTCTTTGATAAAATTCAATTATATAAAAAACAGTTAAAAGGGATTCTTCTCTAGACCACTCAGTAGCTACTAAGACATCAAGAGACAGAGGAGGGATGATTCTATTGACTAAACTTACAGTTGTTGGAATCATGAGACCTTTCTGATCCAGTGCTCACCCCCCCACCCCTCATATTTCAGGGCCTTTGAAGAATATGCAGAATGTGAAAGTACCACACTTCTGAAGGCAACAATGTTTAGTACCTTGCCCAAGGATAGAAGCAGGTGAGAAATCAGCTGTATTAATGGGTGCTCTGGGATTACTTTCACAGATGTCCTCGAAAGGCTGGTGCAGGTGTGGTGGGGATGGGGGAGGACACTTCAGGAAGGAAGCTGAGAGGCTCTATAGCTGTGCTGTCCAGTACCATAGCCACAAACTACAAGTGGCTATTGTGCACTTAAAATGAGGCAAGTCTAAAATAAGATGTGCTTCACTCATCATCTGGAAAATGCAAATCAACACTATAATCAACAAAACACCTCGCACCTGTCAGAATGGCTGAACTCAACAACACAAGAAACAACAGGTGTTGGTGAGGATGTACAGAAAGGGGAACCCTCTTGCATTGTTGGTGGGAACGCAAACTGGTGCAGCCATGATAGAAAACAGTATGGAGTTGCGCAAAAAGTTAAAAGTAGAATTACCCTATGACCCAGCAATTGCACTATTAGGTATTTACCCAAAGAATACAAAAATACTAATTCAAAGGGATACATACACCCCAGTGTTTATAGCAGCTTTATCTACAATAGCCAAATTATGTAAACACCCCAGGGTCCATCGACTGATGAATGTATAAGGAAGATGTGGTGTGTGTGTATATACACACACACGCACACACACAATGGGTTACTACTCAGCGATAAAAAAGTACAAACTCTTAGCATTTGCAATGACATGGATAGAGCTAGAGAGTATTATGCTAAGTGAAGTAAGTCAGAGAAAGACAAATACCATATGATTTCACTCACATGTGGAATTTAAGAAACAAAACAAATGAGCAAAGGCGGGGGGAAAGGAGGCAAACCAAGAAACAGACTGGAGAACAAACTGCTGGTTACCAAAGCGGAGGTGGGTGGGGGAATGGGTGAAACAGGTGATGGGGATTAAAGAGCGCACTTGTGATGAGCACCACGTAATGTACGGAAGTGTTGAATCACTATATTATACACCTGAAACTAATATTACACTGTAGATTAACTGGAATTTAAATACAAACTTAAAAATATAGATGTTAACAGGAGTCTTTAAAAAAATAAAATAAGATGTGCTATAAGTGTAAAATGGACACCAGATCACTAGATTTTAATGTCTTGTTTCTTAAAGTAAAATATTCTATTTTTATGTTGATTACATGCTGAAATAATATTTTGAATATATTGAGTTAAATAAAATATGTTAAAATTAATTTCACCTGTTCCTTTTTACTTTTTAATGTGAATACTAGAAATTTTATATGTGTAGTTCACATTATGTTTCTTTTGGAGAGCATCCTTCTAAAGATTTCAGAGTATTGAAAACGACTTAAAATGTTCAGAAAAACTGCTTCTCCCCAAAAAACTCACATTGCCCTTCCTCTCCCAAAGAATATGCCTGTGTAGTCGAGAACTGCAGAATTATTATAGTCACTTGTACAGGAAAGTCTCAAACTTCTGTCCACTCTTGCCACTGGAACCAATTCAGATGCTGGCAGAACTGTTTCTACTGCTTTGTCTGTTTGTCTGGTTTTGTAGAAGTAAACTATAGAGAATGCAGAGAAGGGCAGGAAGGAAGTAAGCAAGGGAAGGTCACTGCACCAGCCTTAGCTCTACAGTATTATATTGTTACAAATTGTGGGATTACAGCAGCCGTGGCCTGACTCCTCCTTGTCAGTCATGCTACCTTAGAAAAATAATTAGCTTTGGTGAAGAAATTGCCTGGTGCACTGGTCTGAAGTGTAGGTAGAAGCAGAAAATTATCTGTATTTAAGTTCTCACTTGAGCAGCCTCCTTCAGTTATGGAAAATACAAGACACTGGGTGGACTCCAGTATCTTCAGTGTTTTGAATGTCTCTTAAAAGCAATGTGGTAAGTGAAGATGTCAGCTCTAAATCAATGTGTATTGGAAGCTAGTCCTAACCCAGTCCTCCTAGAGCCTCTAGTTCTCTGGAAAGTGCCCCTAGTGTGGGAATGTGAGTGAGGCGGGAGGAGGGGGTGGGGAGGACTGGTGCCTTGGAGGGAATAACTTGGAATTCTGGACTTTCTGCAGTTTCCAGTAGGTTGAAGCTCAAGCATTTCTCCTGGCACCTAATAAGACATATATCAAATCAGTGTACACTAAGAAGAGCTAGTTTGATCTTGTCATGATCTTGACTTTAGGCAGTGAAGGCATCTTGACCTGTAGTCTTTCTTGTTAGAAGTTTTTAAACTACAAATTCAATGTCTTTAGTAGACATAGAACTCTTCAGGTTATGTATTTAAGTGAGTCTTAGTCATTTGTGTCTTGAAAGGAGTTTGTGTATTTCATCTAAGTTTCGAATTTATGGGCATGCAGTTGTTTGTGATATTGTCATACTCTTTTAACGTCCAAGACCTGTAGTGATGGCCCCTTTTTCATTTCATTGCTTTGGTACTTTGTCTTTTTCTCTTTTTTATCAGTCAGGCTACAACAATCTGGTACTGTTGACATTTTGGGCTGAATAATTATTTATTGTACAGGGTTCACCTTTCTAGGATGTAGGATGTCCAGCAACATTCCTGGCCTTTATACCCACTAGATGCCAGTAGCACTGCATCTTTATCCCTACCCCCACCCCAACTGTAACAATCAAAAATGTCTCAACATTGCCAAATGTCTCCTGAGAGGCAGAATTACTTACTCCTGGTTGAGAACCACTGCGTTAGGCTACCAATTATCTTTTGGAGCAATTAAAAAAAATAAGAACAACTATATCTTTTGTACTTTACTTTCATTTTAACTATTTCTGGAAATCTTCATTTCTTTGTGTAGATGCCAGTTCTGTTTAGTATCATGTTCTTTCTGTTGAAGGAAGTTGTTTTGACCTTTGTTTTAGTGCAGGTCTGTTGATAATAAATTTTCTTGGTTTTGTTTGTTTTTTGTTTTTTTGTCTGTCTTTTGAAGTCTACTTTTCCATCATATCTGAAAGATATTTTCCCCGGGGCACAATATTCTGCATTAACAGTATTTTTCCTTTAGTGTTTTATAGTTATTACTCCACTGTATTCTGAGTTGCATAGTTTCTAAGTCAGCTGTAATTCTTTGTTTCTCTGTACTGTATCTTTTTCTCTGTGGCTACCTTCAAGATTTTCTCTTTAACTTTGACTTTTCAGCAGTTTGAATACAATATGTGGGAGTGTGTATTTTTTGGTGTTTATTCTGCTTGGGAATCTGAGCTTCTTGTACGTGGTTTGGTATAATTTATTATTTTTGGAAGATTCAGCCATTCTTCAAATGTTTCTTCTGTTATCTCTCTCTCCTTCTTAAATTCCAAATACACTTTTATTAGACTGTTTGATATTTCCTACACTTGAACACTTACTTGGATTTTCTTGCCACTTTTTTATCTTTGTATTTTAGTTGGGTAATTTCTATTATAGAGCTTCAATTCATGCTTTCCAAGTTCATGCTGTACCAAGTGTACTGACTGGCTTTTTGAAGGTATTCTTCATCTCTGTTACTGTGTTTTCTGTTAGCATTTCCATCTGACATAGTTTTTATCTCTACTGAAATTTTCTATCTGATCATTCCTGTTATCCACCTTTAATATGTGTGATTAATATATTAATTAATGCTATTTTAAATCCCTCTCATAGTTCCAACACTTAGGTTATCTCTGAGCCTCATTCTGTTGGTTGATCTCTCTCTTAACAGTGGGTTGTTTATCTTTTTCTTTTTTTATGTGTCTCATAATTTTCTATCCAGTGCTAGGCATCTTGTATAAAACAGTAGAAATTAAGATAATGTATGAGTCAAATAAGCATGTTTCTTCTTCTGCTAGGTCAGTAATGTGGAGTGTTGAATTAGTCAGTAGTAGAGCTCGGTTTGGGTTTAGTGTTCTCCCTTCAGTACACCATTGATTTCAATTTCCTGTACTTAAAGTGTGGGCTGGAATGCTGCAGGGATTTTCCCAATATTCCTTTTCCACTCTCAGCTTCTAGCCTTCCTTTCAACCTGCACCAAAAGGGCCTCTCTCCATGCCTTTGCCTTTCCCTCTGCTTGTAACCTGCTGCTTGATAGCTTGGTGGTAGTGGGAGCCAGAGGACCAGTCATCTTGGTCCAGGCTCTCTTAAGCAAGCCTTATATGTTTGGGCCTTCAAAGTGGGGCTTCCTCAGTCCCTCAGTCTCCCTATGCCAGACAAAATTCTACCTTGCATCTTTGATGAGTCTTGAGAAGATGAGTCTTCTGATTCCTGTAATCGTATTGACATGAGATCTTGGGCCCAAGACCATTTCCTGTCCCTCCTTTCCCAGGGACAGAAGCTCTTTGTCCTCGCTCACTGCTACTCTTACCCAATATCAAGGGCCCTTTACCTGAGCCCTGGAGGCAGCAGAGTCTGCTGCCCCTTTCCCAGTGGCTTGAAGCTATCATTCATAGGAAAGGGATGGCAGGACTTGGGCGTTTTCCACAGTGGGAGCTTACTCTCCTCCAGCAAGGCCTTGCCCCCCAAGGGTGGTGCTCTGTGGTATCTTCCTTGTCCCCACTTTTTCTCATCAGCACCCAGTGAGAAGATGGAGAAGAGGCTGTAAGTGGAAACAAGCTCCTTTTTGGTCTGAGGCTCTCAGGGATTATAAACTTTCATCCTTTTCCCCAGTTGGCCTTTAGCAATTTGTTAACAATTTTAGCTGAATTCTTAGCACCTTGTATGGTACTTGATGTCTCTTCTTCAGTGCTCACATCCTATCTTCTTGGTGGGGCCAGTCTTTCCTTGGAGCTCAGGCTACTTGCTTGGTCTATGACCCTTGCCAGGAGGTCCAACCATCCCAATTTGTGTGGTACTGAGGAGTTTCCCAAGACATGGGACTTACAGAACTAAAATGAGGAAAAGTCCAGTTGTGTACCCTAACCTCAGCTCTCCAACAGGTTTAAGGAAAGATTTTCTATAGTTTTTCTAGTTGTTTAGGTAAGAGTGATGTTCTTTCTAGGTCTCTGCATCCTAGGTAGAAGCCAAATTAATGAAATACACATGTTGAATGTGAACAAAAATTGTTCTTGAGATAGTAAAAAACCATATTGGGTAAACATCTGTTTCTTACTAAGGCAGACGGATTTTTGTGAAATTTTCCCTAAAATAGAGAATAAGCAAAATTAGTTTAGTCTCTGCCATTCTTTTGTCTGTCAACAACAGATTTATCCTGTTATCTAAATAAACTCCAGCTGAAGAGGTAGATTCTCACCTATTCTTCCTATAACTCTACTCAACATTCAGCTAGCACTAGATTTGGATTTTACTTCCAGCAGGTGAGTAGCTCCTGTAGATTTTTTAGTGAAACCAAAAAAAAAAAAAAAAAAAATCTTGATCCCCTTTTGTGGAGGAGGAATAAGGCTGAGTACAGCAATAGGCTTTCAAAAGAATAGTGACCACCTTTGGGTAAATGTGTATGTATGTGTACACATGTGTGTATAATTTTACTATCAACTGTCTGGAAACATACTTGATTTACATTGCCATTGGTGGTATATCTGGTCTTGTGGTTTTTATTTCAGATATCAAGGGAGCCTGGGAGTGTTTGTGACCCCTCCAGCCAGCACTAATGGTAATAAGGTAGGCAGCCTCAAGGCAATGCTTTAGATTTTGTGTGATGATGAAGGCTCTTTCATTTGCTCAGTTATTCCTTGGAGTATCCAAGAGAAATACTTACAGCTGTTCAAGGAGCTTGTAGGCTGTATATATGAGATCTTCCTATTAAAATTGTCAATAGTTTGAATAGTATAAGAAATATGGCACAGAAATCTTAAGGCCAGGAGCATGTATAATCTCAACAGCTGTGGGGTTTATATGGCAGTAGATATCATAGCTAAGATGTATAGTGTTTATCATGTGTCAAGCATTGTCCTAAGAGTTTTACATCTATCAACATATTGAATCCTCACACATAGAAACTTCATAACAATCCAGGGGCACCTGGGTGGCTCAGTCAGTTAAGTGTCTGCCTTCAGCTCAGGTCATGACCCCAAGATCCTGGGATCGACCTCCGTGTTGGGCTCCCTGCTCAGTGGGGAGCCTGCTTCTCCCTCTCCCTCTGCCATTCCCCGTGCTTGTGCTCTCTTGCTCTCTCAAATAAAATCTTAAAAAAAAAAAGAAAAGCTTCATAACAATCCTAGGACATTAGGTATTATTATCTACATATTACAGATTAGGAAAATGAGGAATGAAGAAGTTTGGTAATGTGTTCAGGTCACACTGAACAAATGATGACTTAAGTTCATGTAGTCTGTTCCCAGAGTTCTTTCAACCACTATGACAAAGACAAAGAAGAGGTCAAGATTTCAGCTTTCAGGAGGGTATATAGTAGTGTGGGAGCTGTGTATAGGTCGACAAAAAAACCTTTCAAATAACATTTTGATTTTAGGTTATGTACCAAGCAGAGATGTATGGAAAGCTAAAAGAGGACATGCTAAGGAGGAGGATTCAAAAAATGATAAAGTGATGTTTCGTACTCACTACAAGTCAACAAAGTATGAATTACACCGACAGGTGTGGTCAAATATTTGATTTAAACTTCACGTAATACAGATAACCCAGTACTGGGGAAATGCTGCAAAAACAACTTGCAGGAAGATCTCTACTTCTCTTCAGGAGATACTTGGATACTTGCCATTTCAAAATTGAAGATGACTTAGATGCTACTTGCCATACGGAAGAAATTGAGGCTGTGAAAAGTTTTATCGGTTCCACTTATGATTAAGTGACTGAGAATAAAACCAGTGAATGGTAGGTAAAAGAACTTTGGTTTAAAGGTGACGACATGGACCTTATCAACTCACATGAAGCACAGTGAGATTCACAAATGACTAGAAAATTCCATAACCCTCCAAACCAATCCTTGTAATCAGAGGACACCCAGGGGAGCAGGACAGTCGACAGGTACATCCACAACTTTAGTGAAGTCTGTTGGCAGGGACTCTGACTTTCTCGAAAAAGTAGGATGCTTTGAAGGCTTGTGATTGGTTTTTCAGGTCAAGTGATTATTATAAGAAAATATTGTTTATGACTATGGATGGGATGAAATCTTTAACCTAACCTAAGAGCAAATCACCAAAATCCTCTCTATACCTACTGGATGACCTACATGACTTTATACAGCTCTTAACAGGCACTCATTGACATGTGAATTTGATATTCTCATGGAGGCAAAAATAATCTGAGAGTAAGATGAGAGTACTCAGATTGTATTGAAAGGTATAATAATGTGGAAATTCTGTAGGATGTTTTCTTAAAGCTGATTTTGACCAGGGACGAAAATGTTTAGAGTGTTGGTAATCTAGTATAGCTGATAGCCCTTAATAAAAGGATGTTATATTTGCTTTAATATAGTACTTGTCCTCCAGACAAGTGAAAGAATTTAACAACCTCAGCTACATTATGATAATCTGGAGTTTTCTACTCAAAAGAATTGAGTGAGGATGTACTTTTGAAGGGCCAATTCAGTACTTAAGGCATTGTCAACAATGAGTAGAAAGGGGAGCACTGTTCTACTAGGATCAGCTCTACTCCAAAACTGTGGTTATGCCTCTCTCTCTCTCTCTCTCTTTTTTTTTTTGATGAGTATTACTTTCTAAATTGAAATGATCCCACAAAACACTTGGTTTGAGGCTTGGTGAAGGATGCCTTGTAGATAACAGATGCAGAGGACATTGGATTGGAGTGTTTAGTGAATGTGGCTTCTCAGGTCTCCCCAGCCGTTACTGGGACAGGTGTTTAGGCTGGTGACACTCAGGTTCTGCCTGCCCAGGATGGAGAAGCTTTCCAAGCCTCTAATATCCCCAGCTACATTGTCCCAAAATTCTAGTATACTACATGGTTACAAAAACTGCCTTTCACAAGCCAGATCATCTGGATCTCTAACCTTCAGGATCCAGGAATGATCCTTGCTAAGCTACCAACATTGTCTTGCTACATTGCCTACAGTTGATATAATAATGACTAGGCATCTTACACAGTCATATTTTGATGTTGTAAGAAGAGGAAGTTGTGAGGGGCATATGAATTCAGGTCTGCAATGGTCAGAGGTATAGTGGGAGTTAAGCAGAGCACTCTGGTCAGTTCTTACCACATAAATGGGCAGGTATGTCTGGGTGTTGAAGGTGTTTGTGACCACTCTCATGGTACTTATGGGCCTAACAAAACTCAACTGCATGTTTTTTCCATGGTCTCAGTAGTTTGCCACACCTGGCTTTGGGAACCATTTGGTTGTTCAGATTCCTGTCTGGAACATCACAAGGCCTAGACAGCCACTGACTAGTTGCCAGAGTCGGAAACTCTGCTTTTATAATTGTTTCCTCACAGAGTAATGGTGAGGGCTTGTGTAATAGGATATGTTGGTGCTATGAATCAAAAATGGCAAGTATTAACTTGTATAACAGTTGTAACAAAAAGTATTTTGTATAAATATAAGAAACCTGAGTAGGAACTTAAAAGTGCAATCTGCACTGATCAATTTAATTTGGTGCCTCTCAACCTTTTTTTTTTTCATAGTTCCCCTTCCCACAAAGAGATTTTCTCTTAAAGTGTTCACAGATTTAAGGCCAAATGATGAATATTGCTTTTCCCCCATAGGTGAGGATTAATGAAAAGAGTAGGAAGGATCTTACTGTTACTACAGGCAGTACTAGGTATTTTATTTTCAGGTTGTATTTGGAGAGAAGCAAGCATCTTTGCCTCTTTAGAGTAGGAAGTTCAGACTGGTAAAAGGTAGTATCTTCTCTCTTTTTTTTAACTTAGGGGAAAAATTAAAGTAACTTTTTACATTGGGCACTTTTTCTTGTTAAAAGATTAAGGTGATGGTTGTTTATTTTTGCAGGTATTTTTACAAAGAACTAAGATTTTAAGCAGTGTCATATATCTGGGTTTTTTAAACAACTTTTTAAACAGGGTTTTTAGAAACTTAGACTAAATTATTCTTGTCTTGAGTTTTAAAGCTATTTAATTTTGTGAGCTAATTACATTAGGAACTAAAGTGAAGTAGGTAATGGCTTGGAACTTTGCCACCTTTTACACTTTCTACTTTGGGAGTTGATTATAAATGAGGGTGGTGGGATGAAGGTGGATAGAATTAGTGCAGTGGCATTGGACTTCAATAATTGAATGGAAAAAGGACAGCCATTGATCTCATCATGCTTTAAAATATAAACCTATAACTTAATTATTACACTGTGTAACCACCGCTGAGATCAAGAAAGAGAAGATTGCCAGCCTTCCACATGTTGCTTCCAAATTACAACCCTTCTCCCCATAGGTAACCACTATTCTGACCTGTAGAGTAATTCCTTTTCTTATAGCAGTGTTCCTCATCTGGCATGAGCATCATCTGGGAACTTGTTAGAAATGCAAATTCTTGGGCCCTTCCCGAGACCTAACACACTTATACATTTTTGTGTGGGGGATGAATATTTATGTAATTAAAGTCTACGGCAGTGATTCTCAAGCTTTAGCATGTATGAGAATGACTTGGATGGCCTATTAAAACGGAGGTGCTGGGGCCTACACCTAGAGTTTTTGATGATCTCTTTCTGGTTGTCTGTTTTATTCACTGATTCTAATTTTCTTATGTGCTGGGCATGTTTGACTCTGTGCAAGTCATTGCACTTGAAATGTTATTTTGCTGGAATAACTGTGAGGCCTATAATGCAAGTACTTTGCTCCAAAGAGTATTTGCATTTGCTTCTGCCAGGCACCTGGGGGCACTATCAGTCTGGGAACGCCTGTTCAAAGTTTGATTTTTCCTGGACAACTCCAGGGATTCTTACTTATGTTTTAATTCTCTTTAGATTATCCCAGTTCTTGTTCCCTTCACTCTGAGATCCCGGAACCCAGATTGTTGTAGGGGAAAGCCTCCTATCAGATTCCCCAACTCGTTGGGATCCAGAGTTTGTCCCTTTCTGTACCCTGAAAGGCCATGAGAATGGAGGGTCTGAGTGTCTGGGATTAGCTAGTACTCTCAGGTAGAAAGTGGTTTCTGGCTTGTTCACCTCTCTAGATTCTTGACTTCTCTTTACTTTTGGCCTGGTAATTCCTTACTATTCTGTAATCTCTTTGACGCTTTTGAAAAGATTATTTTAAATATATTTTATCCAGTTTTTATAGTCGTTTTCAGTTACAGGACTGATGTGAACAACCTGAACCACCTTTACCAGAAGGGAAATCTGGGAAATAAATTATTAATGCATAGGATTTTTTCAAAATACTGTGGTTTTTCAAAACATTAAAACATCTATGGATATTTATATCCTTAAAAAACTTTTGTTTTTAGCTTACAACTTCTCCCAGACATGGGACACACAAGATGGTTTTGGTATAAGAACTCTCCTTATGGAAAGATTCCCAGGGTTGCATATTTATGACCTTTAACCACTCCAAAAGGCTCTGATATTTCTGGTGGGTTCCAAGGAATGCTTACCACAACTTCAGAAAGCCTGACAAAATGCAGAGATGTGCCTAGTACAGGATCCATTTGCAGTTTATGGGTTTATTTTTGCCTGTAGCTCTAACCAGTCTGGACACACCAGATTTAGGAAGCATAGATGGCTTACACTTTTATCCCTAAGGTGGTTTCTGTCTGGGATAACATGTGGAATGCCCCAAACTTTATTTACTGTCAAGTTCTAAGCACTTGATAGATGATATTTTAACCACCTCCTTCTCTCCCCCAAAAGTGTGTCATATCATCTTTTTTTCCTGTTTGACGCCTGTCATGTTGCTCCCTTGAGATAGGCAAGATTCTCAAAGAGAAAATACCCCTTCCCAACCCGTTGCTGACGAATCAGAATACATTCTTTCCAGATAGGAATGATTCTGTTATATTTATCTTTAGATATCTTTTGAAGGGGACTGGAGATGGAAGTACACTAATGCTACACACGTGCATTTGGAAGGTAAACTGGTAGGCTTTCCAGATGTCAGAGATTGTTAGTAATATGGTGAGACACTTTATCTTGAATACTCTCACTGATGCTTGATGATTAGGATGCATAGCAATCCGTGTAGGCTAGGTTTGGGGCAGGAACGAACGGACTCTGAGAGCTATTTGTAGAGTCCCCTAAGGATACTTGACAGTCATGAAGGTCAGGACCCCCTGAAGGTGGTAAGGGTTAGTTGTAGTGGAGCACACAACCTCTCTAAGTTGTGTGTCGGGATAGATGCCAGAATTTAATCCTGATGGTAGCAAGCGTGAGCGTATCTCACATACAGGCTATCACCCAACTAGTTAGAGCAGAGAATGCCTTAAGGCAGTAGAGCATATGCTGCTCCCCAGTACCTTTCTCTGCCTTTCTTTTCCCTCCCTGAGATGTGCCCAAAATCTATGCATAGGCTTATGGTACTAATGCAGGATGGGAGTCCCACCAGGTCAGAGGGACACTGAGTCTCCTCAGTCTGTGTTTTTCTTTATCAGTTTAGAGGATGATGTCATCAATATCTAAATCAGTAAACCTGGATTCTTGTTACCCTGTTGCTGGACCTAAAGTTCATGTTTTGTGTATAGACTTTCAAACTGTACCCCAGTACGTAGGAACTCTCCAGTTCAGAGCTACAAATAATGGGCATGTGTGTGGGAGGTGGGTGCTTTCCGTATAACACAGGGGCTTTCCAACCGTGGGATTTCTCAAGTTACAATACTTAAAAAGTCATGACCCAGCACAATCCACCCCTTAGTTGATAACTTTTATATGGGCCAACACATTGATCTCCAGACCAATATGATGCCATCATTTATTATTTTCACACAATTCATCCCTTAAAAATAGAAATAGTGCTGTCACAAATAATAAACTTCCTTATTATAATTCCTACTTTACTGAAAGGTGTGGAGAACTAGGACCACATGAAGTCCACTCAGTTGTTGTTTTGTTTTGTTTTTAAAGATTTTATTTATTTGACAGAGAGAGAGACACAGTGAGAGCAGAAACACAAGCAGGGGGAGTGGGAGAGGGGGAAGCAGGCTTCCGGCGGAGCAGGGAGCCCGATGCGGGGCTCGATCCCAAGACCCTGGGAACATGACCTGAGCCGAAGGCAGACGCTTAACGACTGAGCCACCCAGGCGCCCCGAAGTCCCCTCAGTTTAACCTTTTCCTTATGGACATAGCTTACTGAATCCCATGTGTTTGGGGAGTTGTCTGGGGTGTGGGGATTTTTCCCTCTTTAGTAGCACATGCTCCTCCTCCCTCCCTGGCTAGAATATAATCTTAAGGGCATGTGGTTGGAGACCACCATATATCTTTTTTTTTTTTTAATTTTGTTTATTTATTTGACAGAGAGAGACACAGCCAGAGAGGGAACACAAGCAGGGGGAGTGGGAGAGGGAGAAGCAGGCTTCCCGTGGAGCAGGGAGCCTGATGCAGAGCTCAATCCCAGGACTCTGGGATCATGACCTGAGCCGAAGGCAGACGCTTAACGACTGAGCCACCCAGGCGCCACCGAGACCACTGTATATCTTATGGCTACAGTTTCTTCAGCATTATTGTTGCATAGCTGGTCACCTATAGCTGTGTCACAGATCTTTGAAGTAGTCCTGAACTTTGGAAATTATATACTCCATTCTGTTCCTGAGTATATAATTCCAATAGGGATTTGTGGGAGCTATTTAATGACTCCCAGTGATGGGATAGTTAGTTCCAAGTAGCATCTCCCCCTGTATTCCTCAGGCAGCCATTGGTGTACATGCAGCCCTCGTATCCAGTAAGTGAGAGAATTAGGAGTAGACCTGCACTTTTTCCCAAAACCAAGTCCAATTTTTGGTACTTGATATGGGTATTATAATATAGGACTGTTATGAGCATCCTTGATATCTGGTGCTGGTGTCTAATCCCTTTAGCTCAGACTCAGAGAAAACATATTTAGATAGGGTGGGACTATGCCTTAGGACAACAGGAGCCAGAGAGTCTCAGGGTTTGGGAATGGATCATCTCTCTCATGGGTCCAGTTAAATGATCAGGTACGATCAACCCTGTTCCAAGTGATAGAGATTTGATAAGTATAATGTTCACGAACCCCACATATATTTTCTCTCTTAACTGCGGTAGAGCCTTCCATTTATTATTACTTTTAAGCTTAGTCTTTGCATAGGCTATCCAAGTTCTGGATTTTGCCTGGCTTTTTACTCAGTACCATGATTTCCCATCCCTCAATTGTTCTAGAATAAAGTATGTATCTCCAACCATTGGGATATGTATTATTCTGTATCTGAAGCCTCTACACTAATCAGATAACTTGGCATAGAGCCAAATAAGCAATTTAATATTTTCCTGAGAAAAGTCAATTACCACGGGTGTTATGAATCACCTGAGATGTCTAGGGCAATGACCGTGATCATTCCTTCAAGGTAAAACTATAGCCGATGTTTTTTGTACTAAAATGAGGACTGTTGGCTTATTGGCTGTAACCTTATTTGAACTGGTATTATAGTTAGCCCTTCCATAATTAATCTTCAGTGTCTTCAGTGCAGGTAGCAGAGACCTCTTTGAGTTTCTTTCAAAAAGTTTCCATGCAGAGTTACCTCCAGCTATAGCAATATGTGATTGGCATTGAACTTTTGGGCAATACCTGGTCAGAGCTCCAAGCCAAAGAGTCCCCAGAAGAGAGCACTCTACTCACCTTCCTCACTGGGAACTAATACCTGGAATAGTACAATACACATCTTTGTATTACTGAACTTCTTTGTCTTACTACAATAAAGTTTTCTTTGAGAAGACTTTCAAATGAGGATGACTCCCAGAACGTGGC